TCCATTTGCTCAATATTCTTTTTGAGTTCTACTATTTCAAAGTCTTTCTCTTGACTGAGTTTAACGAAACGCTCATGTTCCAGCTGTAAGGCAGAGGTGCTCGAGTTATGTGCATTTGATAGTTCTTCAATGTTTTGCTCATACTTGCTTGCTTCTTCCAACAGCCTCTCTTTAGCCTGACACAATTCTGCTTCTAGCTGTCCTTTTTCCACTTCGAGAGTCTCCACAATAGTGTTTTTTTCCAGAGAAATCTGACTGTTCCCAGCTTCAGATTCTTCCAACTGATGCCTTACATCTTCACATGTTAAAACCAACTTTTCATTTTCCATTTTCAGATCCAAAGCAACTTTCCTTAAATTTTCATTGAGCTGTTCTATTTCTGAAAGATTTTGCTTTAAGTTTCTAACTTCAGCTTCCCTTTCCTTAAGTAACTTATCCTTAAAAGTACTATTAGAGTCTTGATTAAGAGACTGAGTTAACTCATTCCGGACCCTAGAAAGCTCTTCCTCATTTTGTCTAATATGTTCCTTAAGTTCAAGGTTCTCCTTCTGGATGTTTGAATTATTTTTTTGTGATTTACTTAGCTGATCTGCTAAACCTTCTGCTTTATCCTCAAGCCCCTCCTTGATTAAATGCAAATCATTCAGGACCAGTTCACTTTGAATTAACTGTTCTTTCTGTCTGTCTAACTCTTTAGTAAGGTTCATTTTATCATCCTCAAGTTGATGAACTATCTTTTTCTCATCATCTAGACCTTGTTTCAGTTTACTGATAATGCTATCTCCTTCATTTTGTTGTTTTGATAGCTGATCTTTTATCAAAATAATGTGCTGAAAAATTAATTTGCATGGTAACGTTACAAAATGTTCTTATTGTGGTACATAAAAAAAAATTTCACAAAATTTCATACCTAATAGAATTATCCTCGGGTATTTCTAATCTTTGAAAAAAACAACCTTTTTCCTATCCCAACATCCCCTACAAAGGTATTTACTAATATCTTACAGCAAGTCCATTTTTCCAAAGAAGGGAGACAATATATGTTATTTATTTTCAACTCTTAAACACTAGAGAAGGAGTCAACAAACTACATCTTAGAGGCCAAATCAGGCCTGCACCTCTTTCTGTAAATAAAATCATATTGAAACACGGCCACGCTCTTCCACGACAGCAGAGTTGAGTAGTTGCAAATGAGACTACATGGTCTGGAAAGCCAAAAGTACTTTAGTACTTGGCAATTCCTATGAGTAGAGCATCAGTGAACTAAAATAGTAATTAAATCACAAAATTAAATTATGTGCATCTTTTTTACATGGTAACCCAGTGTTCAGTCTACTGAGTAAAATGTGCTACCTCACTGTCTTTAATATAACATTACCTTTGTAGCTTCTTGGTTCTGTTTGTCTAATTCTACTAACTTGGATAGCAGTATTTCCTTTTCATTAATACTCTGATTGAGTTCTTGTTCCTTTGCCTCCAGAATAAGTCTTAAGTTATGTAAGTCTGAATCCAATCTCATATCTCTTGCAGCTGTACTTTTCATTACTTCATAGTCATTGCTCAGTTTTAAAAGTGATATCTGAAGTTCTTCCTTAAATGACAAAGGGGAAAAAAGCAACATACTCTGTGAACCGAAGAAGAGACACCAAAAGATGAAAAACATAGAAATAAACAAAACTTGGAATCTATCTTAAATTCTCTCTATCGGAAACATTACTAATACCTCAATAATGAAATATAAAAGTCAACAATATTATTCGACTTGCAATTTTATTTGCAGCTTCAAATAAAACATTTCTATAACCCTAGACAAGATGCAACAAGTGTGTTCGTCTTGTAGTTTCAGCTTCTTTACACACAACCTTCCTCATCTGAGTCTTTCCTATCTCACTCCCACCATTGCTTCCCTTTATCTGCTCTTCTCCTTCTGCATACATACCTTGCAAAATGTCCAAGTCTCCAGCTCTCTTCATTTCCATTCCCTAACATCCAGTCATCAGCACCCACAGACTAAATAAAAATGTACAATGTCCACACTCATTCACTCTAAAGTTTATCCTCTCTAATTTGAAAATAAAAGCCTTCTTTTCCCTCATTAAAGGAATCCCCTTTACTGCTTGCTTCTGTCAGAAACTGGAACCTTTTCTTGATCCAAAAAAGTGCCCTCCTTCCTTCTTTACCTTCTAACTTGAGCACAGGCAAGGTTCCTCTCTCTCAAACCTGACATAAAGATGTATGTATATATATTTTTTATAGTCCATTATTAGCTATTTAATGCTTTTCTCCAAAACCCCAGAAGTAGTACAGTTCTCTATGTTTCAACATTATTTCAACCTCTGATTACAAGGTTTGTTGATAAACTATAAATTGCTATAAAGCCTTCTCTCATAGACAGAGTTTTTTTTTTTTTTTTGACTGGTAAGGGGATTGCAACCCTCAGCATGGTGTGGTCCACACCACGCTCAGCCAGTGAGTGCACCAGACATCCATAGACAGGATCCACGGCCTCAGCACTACCAGCGCTGCACTCTCCTGAGTGAGCAACGGGTCTGGCCCATTGACCAAGATTTTTAAAAAATCAAACTTCTACAGTATCTAGAGTCTCAAATTCCTTCAAATAAAAAGCCTTATTCCTTATAAAAGAAAACAGTAAAAGGTGTCTCAGAGCAATGCATCACAGTTCTCATTTCCTTCTGATTCAAAAGTTTATTCTGAATACAACTGGAACATGAAAACAGCATTCTTTTACATCTTTCTTCTGTCTGTTATCTGCTCAGTTAGGAGAACCACACATTTTTTTCAGGTAGACCTTAAGAGGACATACAACTTTGAAGGTACTTTTGGCATTCTTTTTTTTTTTTTTTTGGTGGCTGGTTGGTACAGGGATTGAACCCTCCACCTTTGTGTCTTCTGGTATTTCTTATCAGTAAGCAGCCCCACAGCAGACACAATTCAAGGAATAGTTAGAATGGACTACTTAGCGTCAAAAGAAAGGAGAAACAGCTATCGGGAATAGCTACAGAATCCAAGAATATCACGAAAATGTTACAGGCCCTACCTAATATGTGCAGAGAGTCTGCAAACTATAAAATATACTTAGGCCAGTCAGATAAACAGCAGAATACATTGGGAGCAGAAACAGAACAGAGAAAATATATGATGGTACTTCAAAAAATTTGCAGAATAGAATTAAAAGATAATATGAATCTTTCGATGAACTTTTTGAAATATCCTCATTTATACTATAGTAATTTTAAAAGTGACTGGCATTTACTGGGTATATAAAAAGTGGGGGCAAAGATCCTACAATGAATGACACAGTGCATACAACTAAGAATCTTCTCACTTAAATGCCAATGGCACCCTCTTTGAGAAACACTGCCTATATACTAATGTAGAAAAATGTTGAAAATATAATGTTAAGGTATGTAAGAACAATATTTTTAGTATGCTGACACATATTTTTTAAATCTCTTTTTATATAAAATCATACATGCATAGATATAGTCTGAAAAGATATAACAGAAAGTGGTAAAAGAGATCACCTCTGGGAAAGGCCAAGCAAAGGATACTCCACTTGTACTGTCTGAAGTTTTTCAGTGTGTATATTACTGAATACACCATATTTAAGCACCTGCCTTAGCCAAGGACTTACTGTCAAGTGGTACAGAACTAAGAATACCTCTCCCCATACAGAATTTTAATCCAAAGAATTCCATCCTTGCTACCAACATATACAAGAAAGACCCTACTTCTACCACTGAAACTGTCCCTCTTAATCCCTCACCACAAAGAAATCCTGTCCACCACATTGGACACATTCTGGAGCACATAAGCAGTAGCTACAGTTATTACAGTTTGCCCCTCCAGACCTCTCGACCCACCTGTATATGCTGCTGCTGTCAGGCCTTCATCAGAAACCAAAATAGGGCCTGTACCTATCTTTTCTGCTCACATCTGTGTGCCTACTGGCTTATCTCTAAACATAAACTTTGGCCAGTCTCTCATACCCTTAACCTTATCCAGGTATTTCAACCTGGCCTAACAAGCATCAATGAGATCAGCTTTATCCAGAGGACTCTCAGTTTTGATATAAACTGGCCATTAATGGTAAACTATAATACACACAGCATTTTAATTCTGCCCCAATTTTTACAGCACCCACCTTTTCTTGGCTCAATAATGAATTCT